TCCAAAGATAGCAGCAAGTCCTATTTGTCTTCAAGTTCTAATCAAACAAAGCCAAACTGGGAACATCAACTCTAGTTAGACTGAAGCAAAGAGGGGCAAACCAGCAGTGAATTAGCAGGAACTAGGACAAAATGGGACCTTTAAAACTCCTTTAAGTAGTGGTGGGTGGTGATTAATTCCAGAGGTCCATCTGGTCAATGAAGAAATATCCCAAACCAGCAGATGATTAAATAAACCATCAATAAGATAACCATTCCTTCATTCTGAGAGAATTAGTAATTCTATGACCACATGGAATACCACACTAAAGCTCTAGACAAGAGGAAGGAGATCTGTCATGGATCTCAAGGGACCGGCAGTGCCGAGTGAGAGGGCAGCTTCCCCTGGAGGGTAAGTGTGAAGTGCCTTTGGAACTTCCCTCTAGGGGACACTAGAGGAAGCCACCTCAGACCTGAGATGTGAAGGGTGATGGGATCAGAGGGGAATATAACAAGTATTATTCAGAATCCAGCAGTTTAGAACGGGGAGGGCTGGGTAAGATAAAGGATGAAGTTGGAAAGATCAAGGTGTTTTCAGTAATCAATGGGAAGTGATGAAAACGGACCATGAGATAACACAGAATTCTCAAAAGTACATGAGAGCATGGCAACATGGCAGGCAAGATGCTTATCAGGTAAAAGTGTTTGCTATTAATCCTGATGACCTGAGTTCAGTCCCTGGGATCCACACAGTAGAAGGAAAGAACAAACTCATAGCTCTGGCCTCCTCCTCATACATACCATGGTCTAAGCACACACACACACACACACACACACAAAACACTACCACCACCTTTGCCACAATTACTACTACACAGATAAACAGATAGATGTAAGAGAGTATGGCAACATGTAATAACAATGATTACAAGACAACTTGGAATTTTTGTTTTGTTTTGTGGTAGATGGAGTCCAGAGCTTTAATATACTAGGCAAGTGCTCTATCACTGAGCCACACCCTCAGCCCTGAAAACTGCTACTTGGCTATGTAAATTAATTACACTAATTAAGTTTAACTGATGTTACATTATCAACACTAGGTCAGTGTAGCATTCATTGACTGTTTATATAGTCGCTCACAATTTTTAAAAATCTCTTCCTTATAGAAAAGAGATTTGGATGAATACTACACACAGTCACAAACTTGAAAGAAAAGGAAGCTGATTTTTTAAAAAATACTAATTGATTTTTTATATTTTTTAATTTAAATATAACTCTGTCACCTCCCTCTTTGCCTTTCCTGCCTCCATCCCCTCCCAAGTCTTCCCCCTGGCATTTCCTCTCACACTGATGGCCTCTTTTTCTTTCATCATTGTTGTTATATAAGCATATGCATGTGTGTATGCATAAGTATGTAAAAATAATCCACTAAGTCTGCTTAGTGTTGTGTGTAGATTATTTCAGGGACTACCATTTTGCATTAGCTAGCTAATTAAGGGGCTCATCCCCAGAAGAGACCAATTCTCCCTCTCTTAGCAGTCATTAGTGGTTTGTAGTTCTTTGTCTATGGGATTTCCCAACTCTGTTTTAGCATGTCTATTTGTTTTGTCATTGTTTATGCTTTGTTTGGGCAGCCATATTTTTTAGGTAACTTGAACATAGCTTCTCTGTCATTTCTAGGAGACCTGTTCTCTAGGCAGACTTCCTGGTGCCTTCCTGGCTCTTACAATCTTTCCTCCCCCTCTTCTGCAATGTTCCCTGAGCCTTAGATGCAAGAGCTGTGTTGTAGATACATTCACTGGGACTGAGTTCCCCATGATCCACTGAACTCTGCCTCATGACCATTTTGCCTTATGGCCAGTTGAGGTTGTCTGTCATGATCTCCAGCAGCTGCAAAGAGAGGCCCCTTGGATGAGGGGTGAAAGCTATGCTTATCTGTGGATATAAGGATAAGTATTTAGGATATTGTCAGGCATTATGCTGGTCCTAGTAAACTGTCAGTAGGAGGTTCTCCTCTAGGATCCATGACCTCATTAGCCCCAGGTAGTTGGCTAAGTTTCTAGAAACTGGCATGGTCCTATTGAGCAGGCCTTACGTCCAATTAGACAGCTCGTTGGTTTGCCACCAAGAAATATGAGTTCTACTACTTCACCTTTATTGATCTCTTACTGGATATTGTTGTGGCTCACTGGCATCACAGATAAACAGGAAGGACCATTGGTTGTGCCCCTGCACAGCTGGCACAGAACCTCCAGGTACTATGAAAGCCAGACCACAGGAAGCTCTTCAGAAGCAGATCTGAATAGCACACCCAGGCCTAATAGTCTCATCTCAGGCATTCTATGCCTCCATGCAATCACCAAAATAACCAAGACACATTTAGTTAGTTAATTTCTAGCTTTTCTTTGAGAAGAATGAGGAGATGGAAGAGGAGCCAAGAAGTCCGAAAGGAAGCAGAAACCTTCATAATTCAGGAGGTAATGGAACTTAATTTGTGCCAGAGAATATAACACATATCGCCTGGGGCTGGTGTGATGTCTCAGCTGGTTGAAAGCACTTGCTGCCAATTCTGATAACCCCAGTTCAACCCAGGGGGACCTTACAAGGTAGAAAGAAAGAACTGATTCTGGCAAGTTATCCTCTGATCTCCACATGCAAGACTTGGTGCGTGTGGTCCTCTGCCTCATCCCTCACAACAAATAAACACTTATAAAGAGGAAATAGGATGTGTCATGTGTCTCTGATGCTCAAAACACCATTTAAGGAAATAGGCAGATATTTGAAGTTTCTGCCATTAAGCATTGCAAAGATAAATTCACATGTTGTCTTAGCATGCTGGGTACAGGCTCCTTCATCCTGCTGATACCCTCCCTCCAAAAATAAAATTCTGGAGCATGGTTGTGCAGAAGTCACCTTCCAGCTGAGCTCATCTTGACTGCCAATTTAGGGTAACTGTGCTTAGTGTGGCCTCTGTAACTTCATTGTTGAGAACACATTAACTTAAATGCTGTCTGGGCTTAGTAGAATGAATTCAGATGGTTTAGTCTCCTTTAAAGAAAAAAGAGCTATTCTCAAAAATTATTTCAGCCCCACTGAGCTGGTTCACCCGATACTGTTGCTTTGTGGGAACATAGCCATATACAAAGGTAAAAGAGAAACAGTAGGAAGAGTTGTGATTTACCAAATCAGGAACTGGAAAACTTTACCACTTCTTAACCTTTATTTTACACACATGTGTTTCTTGCTTCTCTTCATGTCTGTGTACCAAGTATGTACTGTGCCCATGATGCCAGAAGAGGGCACCAGATTGCCTGAAACTGGAGTTAGGGACAGTTGTGAGCCACCATTTAGGTGCTGGCAATCTAACCAGGGTCCTTGGGAAAGCAGTCAGTGCTCTTAAACACAGAGCCACTTCATGTTGGCTCAGCCTGAATTTATTTTCCATGCTGAAGGCAAGGGTGTACTTTTTCCTAAGTCAAAGTCTCTAATAGATTAAGGGAACTCTTTAAGCTGTTGTGGGCAATGGAGCAGAGCTAGGCAAATTTCAAAATTAATCCTTGTTACATACATGAGATGTTTGCAGTGGTTGACCAAATGCACAGAGAGGATCAGAGCCAGGATTTCACGGTCAGGATTCCTTCATCAGCAACATCAGCTCCAGCACCCTCCTCTGAAGTATAACGGCTTACAGGAGTTAAACCAGCACTTGAGACATGCTGTCCCTTATCTGATGGTTTCCAGACAAGACAGATTTTCATTCATTGTCTCGTCTAGGCTGAAAGTAGGCTTTCCTGCAAATTGTTTTCAGTTTTGTTTTTGTTTTTCCCAAAAAGCTTACAGTGGTTGTCAGCGGCAGCAGAGAAACTCCGCACTGCCATCGGCAACTTGAGGAATCCATCTTTAGGTAAAGTTGGGTCCTTGACTATATGGCTATGAATCCAGCAAGGTTACTGAGTGTATTAAGTAGAGGTAAGAGGTAGTTCGTGGTTCATATTTAAGAGCGCGAGAGAAGAAAAAGGGAGAGCACAGTGACCACCATGGGTGCCCCCCCCCCAAGTCTATAGATGGTTGTTTTGTTACATTGCCCAAAGGTTGTTTGTAATTTACAACGGGGCAGAAAGATTAAAGTTTTAAATGAAATAAAAACACAAGCTGGCTTATTGTTCTTTCGTTGCAGAATTATTTTACAAACGAAATTGTAAGGTGGTTTTATGAGGTTCATTGTTTAGATTTAGGAATGAGAGGGGAGTGCTGAGAGCTAACAGTTAACAGGAAAGCGCTCAGTCCAGCTACCTTCTAAATACTCCTGTAGGCCTTTGCTTAAGCTCTGAGAGCCCAAGGGATGCAGCTGTAAGGAAAGGCACCTCACATACTGCCTGGGAGGTGCAATTCATACTCCAAACAGCCGCCAGCAACGCGGCACGCAGGTCTGAGTCTTGCAACCATAACACGGTTAGCCTGTTACACCATCGCTCCTTCTGGTCCCAAGATCCTAAACATGCGCAACTACTCAGCACAAAGTGAGCTTGCTGCAATTACAGATTCTCGAAGTCTCCGAAGTCTTAGCGGCGTCTGTTCTGCCGCCTTTGGTGACTGATCCCGAAACGTGACTTCGCCGGGAGCGAGCGCGGCTCCTCTTACCGAAGGAGTCCAGGTCCTCGGCTCTCACTAACCCCGCCAGCTTTCCGGGCTGGCATGGTCACCGACCACGGCCGGTAGCCAAGCCCACAGAGGACGCGAGGCTCGTGGGGGCGCGACTTGTGAAGCAGGGAGCTGGAGTACTCTGGGAGCCAACTGCAACCGAAAAGGCGGGGTCACAGGATAGACTTTTAAGACCGGTCACGGTCAGGGGTGGCCACCTGCCTCTGGGGCGCTAGGACCTCGTACTAGAGGAGGGCTACGTAAGCCAGCCCCAGGCCTAGCCGCCCAGCACCTCTCCGCCCGGGGGAGGGATCGAGGGAGGGGAGACGGCGGGACCCGCCCCCGGCCCCTGCTCCAGCTTGGTCCCCAAGCCGTGCGCGGCCACGGCCGCTGCTAGGGGGAGGCGAGAAGCTCCTCCCTGGAGCAGAGAAACCAGTTTGTCCGGTCCGACAGAGCGGAGGGAAAAGGGCGGCCGCCGAGGAAGGGCGCTTAGACGCGGGGCGGGGGAAGGCGGGGAGCCTTTGGAAAGCCACGAGAGCCGGAGGAGTCGCCGCCAACTGGACAGGCTTCCCGGGGCCCCCGGCCAGCCCCTGTGTGCCATGCAGAGCTAGCGCAGCCGCAGCACTGGGGCCAGGCGGGAGACGGCCAGGTGCGCAAGAGCTTTGGGGCGGCGCGCACCCCGCGGATGCCCCAGCCGGGGCCCAGTGAGCACTAGGTAAGAGGGGCGAGGCGCTGGTGTTTCCCCCGACCTCCGGGATCCAACCAGCCCGGCCGGGTCCCCTGGCTTCTTTGGTGGTCCACGGGCTAGTGGATTCCACACACCGCGGTGCGGTGACAGCAGCTGTCCGAGCCCCCAGGTTGGGGAGCCTGGACAAGTGTTATTTGGGGGGCGGGGTGGTGGTACCGGAAGCCTCTGCCCCCGCCATGGTCCACGGTTGGCGAAGAACAAGCTGAGCGATGATTCTCGGGTCTTTAGGGTTTTCACCTGTTGGGGGAGGAATTTCCCGGGAGCTGTTTGGGTATTTTCTTATATTTTTCACTGGTTTTCGACACACATGTCCGGAGTTAAGAAACCAGAGTTAAGCCAAGATTGGGGAATCTTTGAAGAGTGTTGCTGGCTGTCATGAGAGGACCCACCGCCCTTCTGGGAATCTTCCACTGACAGGTGTAGGGCAAAGGCGATCCGGTGCTCCCGAAAATGACCTTAGGGAGAAGTGTTCCTGGCGTGGCGCACCTGCCGGGAAGGATGGAGGGGTGAGACCTATTGCCTCTCAAGCTTTCTGTGCGCATCAGTGTAGGGCGCGCGCGCGGGGTGAGGGGTGCGTAATAGGGAAAACAGTTTTCTGGGTGTCTGTAGGGTCGTGCCCATTAGTTCCAACGCACCGCCACCGGCTGTCTGTCCTTAATCCCCAGTTTGATGTTTGGAGCTGTCACTTCTCCACACTTGTTGAAGGAAAACGCAGCAGGCGGCGGGAGATGTGGCATGGAACAGGGCTTGGTCTTTAAATTGGCTAACTCAGTCCAAAGTGAAAGAAATGTCTGGTCAGCTCCTCCAAGAGTGTTGTAGGAGTGTTATGCTATGCCTCTGCCCCTGGAGGCTTTGGATGTAGATCTCTAGACCGCTCTGTGTGTGTGTGTGTGTGTGTGTGTGTGTGTGTGTGTGTGTGTGTGTGTGTGTGTGTGTGTGTGTGTGTGCGCGCGCGCGCGCGCGCGGAGGAGGGGGGAGAGCACCAAGTTTGTAAGAGGATGCAGCACCAGGGATGGGGAATTGGCACAAGAAAGCTAAAGAATCATTTGAGTCCCCAGCAACCTCATGAGACCCTTTGGCCTGCAGTCAATGATTTAGACCGTTGTTCTTCTACCCCTTCTCTGGTGGCTAGCTCTGACAAGTTACCCATCCTTCGCCAAGTTTCCTTCTCTGTTGGAGTGAAGATACACTTCCATCTTTCTAGTTGCTTTCAAATTTTCTCCCCTTAACCTTAGAAAATTAAACCAGATAGTACCAAGACACCAGGCACTCCTTGGCCACAGGGGAAGGCTAACTGCCTCGAGGAAGAAAAGATGTACGTTTCAAGATCTCCATGGCTAGTAAATAGATGTCCATATCAAAAGGGAAAAGCCATACAAAATATGAGGCCAAACTCTGGTGTCCATCGTTTTTTTTTTTTTTTTGCGTCTAAAGTGCCACTCGTTACTCCGTGTTTTGTTAAGACCTTATTAAACCCTGTTATAAATGCATAGACTGTGCAAACGATGAGTGGTTATTAGCTGATTAATTTCTAGAGAGCAGTCACACCTGCCTACAATTACTCCTCTGAAGCTGCTAATGGTTTTCTTTATGTAGAGACTTCCTTGTTCTTTTGAGTGAGAATCCGCAACCGTTGTGTTCCTTTGCCATCTTCTAATGGCTGCACTTGGATAATTTTCACTGGTTCTCTGTGTGTAGGGCCCCAAAGAGGGGCCAAAGGGCCTATGTGGCTTACTTAATACCAACCAACAAATCCAACATTCACGTCAGCTCCGTGCCCGCCACCTTCATACTCTCCTTGTGATTTTTATTTTAAGGGCATTTTACACCCAAGTTTAATTGTTATATTTCCTAGTAAGGGAGAATTTTCTTTTTCTGTTTCAGAACCTGATTTAAAACAGTGAATTCCGGGAGCAGATGGTTCAGTGAAAACAAGTCTTCAGATGTAAGCCAAGTTCAGGGCCAGCTCCATGTTAGCCTCACTTCAGGTGCTGGGATCTTGGAGCTGAGGGAGTGTGACACCTGGGCTGCAGATTCTCCTCTTCCCCCTCCTGCTTTAAAGCACGGAGTAGTAGGAAATACAAGGTTTTAGAGTCCAGCAGATTTCAGGTATCTCACTAGTTGTATTGACAGTTTGCTTGTTTGTTAAGGGGGAAAAAGACTAACATTTTTTGGGGGTGAGGCAGGGCAAGAAAGGAGAGGACATGTGTGTCCTTTACAAATAGTGGGAGTTTGAATGTTGTTTTAATATCTTTATGAGAGGAATGCTGTTTTTATTTTCATTATCTGTCTTGATTATCATGGTGGTTATCTCTAGACAGGGTCTCCTTTGTTTATGTTGGTCTCAAACTTGCTACAGAGCTGACAGCAACCTTGAATTCCTGATCCTCCTCCTTGGCTTTCCAAGTGTTGAGATTACAAGCCTGTGCCACCCACCTGGCTTATTTTATTATGTAATTCCTAATTTTTGCAGAGCTGGGGATAAGCTAACCAAGTACTCTTTTCTTGCAGCCTTTGACATGACTTTAAAAAGCTTGCACCAGGGGCAAGTATTTGGTATTTATATATTGTTATTACAATTTATACAGTATCTGAACATGTAAACAGGCACACTGGTATATTAACATTTTATTATCTTACAATTAAATTCTGTGTTCGTTTTTCAGAAGCCATATTCATGGCCCACAGGCAATCTTTATGACTATAGAGAGCTTTTAATTATACTGTTGGCTCTGCCCTTTCATTTTAGTTTGTAAAAGAAACCTTTGGACCTTCAGATACAGAGAACTGGCTCTTTAGGGCTGGGTCCATTACTGACCTGGGCTCCTACCAATAGGACATTTAAGGCTTAAGAACTTACATTCAAGGGGAGGGGGTCTTTGGGTATTCTGGAGGGTTTTTGTTTGTTTGTTTTGTCATTTTTATGTCATTCTATTAGATCCCGTGTTTGTTGATAGTTTTTAAAATGTAACAATTAATTCACTTCCCAAAGATGTTGAATTAATACACATACACACACACACACACACACCACTCATTGTTTTCATTCGACTACCTGTGTTATTCCTGAGTCCCATCCGAGTGCCCACCTAAAAGCAATGCCAGATATAAGATCTTTTGCATCTCTCCATGTCAATAAGGCCCTAGTGTTATGAGGATGATTGTGGCATATATGCCTTCTTTCTCATTTTTATCCTTAGAAACCAGGCAACTTAGCAGTTCACACTTAGGCACAGTTTAGATAGCCTCCCACACTTAAGAATTGCACTTTTCAATAAATTATCACCCTACGTGCCCACAATAGGGGCTGTTTTGATAACTGGTCCCAGTGAACAGAGGCCAGAAGTGGTGGTAAAGTAGAGATGCTGGCTTCTACTTCTGACTCAGGGTGGTATCTATGCCCCATTGTTCTGCAGTTGCATAGCCTAGGGAACTTACTGCAGCCTGGCTGGCCACTTCACCTATAAATGGTGCGATGTAATGAATTTTCAAGTGATGCACATTGGAAAGGAAAGGAGGGTGCGTAGAGCTGGATGAAGGATGGTCATTGGTATAGCTGTGTTGTGGCTCCTGCTCTGCGTGTGCTCTCACACCCATCGCCGTTTTCCTGGGCTACAGGGGACACAGGATTCATTTTACATGTTAGCATTTGTTTAGCAAACACAGGTGCACATTTGCACCTGGACATGGAAAGAAAATGTCTAGGACTTCAAATCCTTGTCAGTGTTCTGGAGTGCTTTGATGACTAGGGAGCTAATGTGACCTCTAACCTTTCAGGAGGATGAGTTCAGTCAGTCACAGCCACTGGGACTCTGGATGCCCTCAACTGGCTGCTACCCCCTCCAGCCCAGCAGGGGCTCTTGGGACACTCAGAATACCACCGTGCCTTAGGTACCCTGTGTCTCTGCTTGCCTCTCACCTCCTTCCTCCTCTTTTCTCCCACTTAATGCTGAGTTGTGTCTGTGGAGCCTGGGTATGTGTTGCTAGTGAAACAATGCCACCTCATTCATTCGTTCACTTTCAGTTATGCCAATGGGTTACCTCCCTACTTTAGGAAAGGTTGTCAGATTTATTAAGGGTCTGAGTTCTTTGATAAGAAGAAATCTGGTCAGGAGCTGGGGAGATAGATTGATGACCAAACTAAGAAGAGCATTTGCTGTCCTTGCAGAGGACCCAGTTTGCTTCACAGCTGGTCTGATGCTCTCTTAAGACCAGCAAGGGTACTACATGCATGGGGTGCACAAACAGCCAAAAACACACTTTCATAAAATAAAAGTAATGAGTTCCAGGACAGTCAGGTCTACATAGAGAAATCCTGTCTCAGAAAAACCAAATCAATAAACAAACAACAAATAAATAAATCTAACAACGAGTTCACCAGGTTCTCTCCCCTGTTCTGGACACTGTCTCTACATGGGAAGAGGGTGGTCTTAGGTTTGAGGTCTGGATGGCTGTGTAGGGACCCTTCCAGTTCTGTGAGCATGGTTTATCTTCAGTCTACAAGCCTAGCCTTTCAGGTGTGGAAAGATGGGCCTGGCCATGATAGCAGAGGTGTCGTGCTGGGCCAAGGACTGGGCTCCTGGGGGGAAGATTGCCCTAAACACCTCTCAGTGGTGAAGGCTATTTGCCTCTATTAACATGGTTGAGAAGTCAGCTTCTGTACTGTGTGTGTGTGTGTGTGCGCGCGTGTGCGCGTGTGTGGCCTGACCTTTGTCTGGTAGCCTGGTGCTCTATTTACAGGACTGTTGTTTTATGGCTTTGTTTCTTTGCTGAGTGGCTTTTGTTCCACCAGAGTTGAGTTTTGTTTGATTTAGGGTAGACTGTGTATGGAATCAGTTTTCTAATCATCACTCAAACTGAATTGAACTAGAAAACCCCAAATATTGTCCTTACAGGCTGCCTGACAGTCTGACAGTCTATCTGCTTGTAAGAACATGTGCCCATGAACTGGATACATGATTTATTTT